CTTATGTAACCACTAATACTTGTACTACAGTAGTGCGAGACCGCATTTAATATAGAATATGCACAATACAGCAAATATGTCGCCTGCTTGTAGGATAAAGTCTGGGTACGAGAATAACTTACCATTAGGTAGTCTGGTTGCATAACCCCCCGTTGGGGCATACATACTTGCTGCAAGTTCGCAAGCCTTATTGTCGTAGGGCTGCAGTTTGATAATCCTCGGGCTAGCACATGTTCACGTATTAGTACTCTCCCGGGAATGAACACTGAGGCCGTCCACACACACACCATATATTCTTGAAGGCTGTCGTGTCGCGTAAGCATATTACTCGCTGGTTCACACAGTATTCGGATACTGCATAATGAATACGCACTATGCGTTTTTTGGGATGGCGCAGTATGCAACTGTTATGTTGTAATTATCAAGGAATGGTCATGCGGCTCCTGCTCATAATATAGGTAACGATTGAGTTCAGAATGATGGCCAAGAAAATCAGGAAGATAGAAGACTGTAATAGTGGACATGAGGACCTTCATTTCGCCATCAGCAGTACTTTTTAGGTGTTTTGACATATACTTAGGTTTTGTACCTAGATACATTTGAATTCTATACTTGCATGCAAGCGAACGTTGCATATAACACTATTCCCAAAAGCACATAGCTCGTATGCAACATCCAGTGTCCGAATACTTTTGAATCAGCGAGTATAAATGCCTTTTAGCCGCTATTGGCCTACGGGACCAAGATATTGAATGCATGTACATATTAATTAGCCTTGGACTTGCATTGATGTTACAAGTGGGTACAGCCATGCATGTAGAGTGTCCTAAGTTCTAATACTACTTGCCACAAGCGTCTTTTTATCTCACCTCGACACGAATAGAGCCCAAAACGCCGAATCAATCCAATTCATGGTGATTAAGGTTGTGACTTTGCCTTTTAGTCTCCATCCCTGCCAGTCCTAATTTTATCGGATTGTTTGCCACTGTTTTCTACCTGTAAGGTTTTCATGGAACGCGAGGGGTAGCATGCATTTGCATGCGGAGCCTGCCACAAGCTTAAGCCTAGCGCGCACGTGGGGTACGGAGATAGCGCAGTTGCAATGTATAAGCCCCTCCAACAACAGTTGGGTAGCTCGCGATCATGTGTCTTTTGTGCCAGAGTCTATACTATTGGCAAGTCTCAGTTGAAACGGGGCCGATCTTGTGCGGTGATCTCGTAGTATGGGGATGCCGGCTGCGCTGTCCCGATCGAACCTTGAGCGCAAATTACTGTAATTAGAGTTCCATGCCCTTTGAATACTTAAGTAGGAAGCCGTATATGTAGGTATCAAATAGTACGTATACTCTTAGAAACCACCACAAGGTGCTTCATATCAAGTATTTCGCAACGTCAAGGCAACCAGCCTACGCCACGAGGCCTCAATCTGCACCAGTTATGTCTATGTGCCGGGCCACTCGTAACAGTGATTCAGTTACCACTGGTCCAGGCTACTCAGTCGCACCACACTTTATTTTATTTTATTTTTTATTTTTATTATTATTTTTTTTTATTTTTTATTTTTTTTTTTCCTTTGTACAAAGCAAGATGCACTGCAGGTACTGATCTCGTACCCAGCCTAAGAGACAGTGTGCTGCCAAGAAATAATAGCAAAGGCACGGCCAAAGCTAAGTTACACATACCTACACGCTCACACGCGTACTATACAGTTAACTTCGAACCCAACCAAACAGCCGCTAAGAATGCGGACAACTGTTAGGGAAACAAGTATCTTGTTAGAAAGATGAATTAACACTTCCATTGTGAGCAAAAATACATTCCCCAGGTGAAAATTCCCTAGTCAGCCTCCAACCATTTTCCTCAAACTCCGCTTAGTCAGCTTCTGGTTTTGAGACTAATAATTCCCGACACTGTTTTTTTTTTTTTTTTTTTTTTATCACATGACCCCGCATGCAGCTGTTCGCCAAGGCAGGGCATTCTTGACACTGTACTTAGCCTCCTCCAAGCGAAAAGTCCTTTACTGCAGTAAAAACGCTCTACAGCGATATACTTTCTCTTCAATGAAATACTTTCTCTTCAGCAAAAATCCCATTCTAGCGAAATACGCCTCTCTAGCAAATTCTAGAGAATCATACTAAAATACATGTGTATGAACGAAGATTCAAAAATACTAAAATCATGTTACCAGAGGATGATATATAAGTAAAAGAACACACAAACAAAGAAATACTCTAAAGCGTTGAACAAAATTTCAAGTACGTAATGTGACAACTGAGATATTTAGCAGCTAACCCGTTCTATGATATTAGTTTTGTAGTGTAAAAAGGTCAATACAGCGTTGTATGATACAAGTACGCGTTTCGTGAATGGCCCGGGCCAGTGGTGACTGGAACGTTAGTTACGAGTGGCCTGGCACATCTATTTAAACAGCTATGATAGCACTGTTACTTACCGGCAGTAGTAGCGTTACATTTGATAACTCAGATGGCGCGGTACTTCACAATGACGCCTCACCTAGGTTATCAAGCGTGTTCCTCTTGTAATTAGTGCCGACTGCATACAATTTCCCAAATTTGCAATCGCATTGTATCCCCAGTTTAGTGCACCCGTTTGCCTGGAGGAAATTTCCCCACTGTATTGATGGGTATTCTGAAGTACATATCTATGCGTATGGAGATAGTTTGCGCATATATGCACTTCTTAACCATTCACAAATAGTTTGTTTGAGCTTCTTCCCCTGTAGCAATACGTTCAAGCTCATACTGTGGTTCACCACTTTCCCGGACACACCACTTTCCCGGACACATTTACCACCAGAACTGCGCAACTTTCGCACTCAATATCTCAACAACCACAACAGCATTTGTGAATGCACTTTGTGTAGCTATTAGACACAGTGTAATTCTTGCTATCTAGCACTTTTTCTTCATCAAAAATTGTGGCTGCAAAGGGATTATGGCTTGTCGCTTTTTTGTTGGAAGGCTTGGCATTTATTTGTATGGGATCTCCATACAAATGTCACCACCCCCGAATTCTGCATGCTACACCTGCAATCAATTCATGAAAAAAACTCAGACACTCACATTCAATAGCATCACTCAGTCGGAAACTATGAACAACGTAGTTAGGTAATAACTGTAGTGGTTGTGAAATTATTCACAATATTCATATTTCCCATAGAAACCATTTGTATGAGAACAATGCCCAAAAGTAGATAGTTGTACACCAACTCTGCAATTCAACAAATGAAAGTAAACTAAATGCAGCACCTTACTATACCTCTTCAGGTGATTCTTGACATATACTATCATAGCTATTGTAATTAGCGTTGAAGAGTAGGACTACATTCGAGTCTGATGAACATTTTGTATGGAGATCCCATACAAATAAATGCCAAGCCTTCCAACGGAAATGCGACAAGTCATAATCCCTTTGCACCCCCAATTTTTGATGAAGAAAAGGTGCTAGATAGCAAGAATTACACTTTATCTAATAGCTACACAAAGTGCATTCACAAATGCTGTTGTGGTTGTTGAGATATTGAGTGCAAAAGTTGCGCAGTTTTGGTGGTAAATGTGTCCGGGAAAGTGGTGTGTCCGGGAAAGTGGTGAACCACAGTATACCTTTGTGTAGCTGCTCATTTGCAATAGCTATTTATGGAATCCGTTGTTGACAGAGATAATCGGTGGTGTACCGTATAGAGCATTGCGATACAATTGTTGAGAACAGAGCCCTTTGCAAAGTCCTAATATTCCGGATACTACTGCCCATGTCTTGCTGCAACCTGGTGATAGAGAAAATCCAGAGTTGCCATAGTTACCCAGAGAGTCGTCGAGTCCAGCTCGCCGGAGCAGTCAAAGGCCGGGTGAGCTGTGAAATGTGGAAAGCTGCATACATTTGCCACGAGTTGAGGTTCCACTTTGTTTTTGAGCTACAAATAGGCTACAAATGCGCACGCTTATATGCAGAAAGGACACCACTAGTAGACGACCTGGTGCTGATACCTTCTCATCTGTCCTGTGGCAGGCACACGTGAGAGTGTGAACATATAAAGGTGTACATGGTCCAGCCACTTCGGGGATACAAACGACGTATCCATACACGGTTGAAAGCCTAAATTGTGCAAGCTGAGGGTAGTACGGTTGCAGGCTGTGTGGGGAGTTGAAGGAGACAGCAGCCTACTGCGTACGGTAGTGAAAGTAGCTGAGAAGCTGGCCGCTACCGAGGAAGGCGAGGTGGGCAGTCAAGGACTTTCGTGGAGGTGGTGGAAGAGGGCTTGCGTTGAAGGGAGAGAGGAGGTGCAGGGGATGTGCGAGATAGCTTGGGCGGCCGTAGGTCTTGCCGAGGAGTGGAAGTTGGAAGGTTCATCAGTTGGAGGAGGTGGACACATGAGTTACGTACTTACTTAACTGTATTTAGCCTGTCTCCGGGCTATGAGGGCTTGCCCAGGGACCCTGCCATGGCCAAGTGCTACAAGCGGGGTTATGTGATTAAAAAAAAAAAAAAAAATTACTTAACTGTATGTACGTAGCTCTTTCATGCACATTAGCGGTTCGAGACTGCATGTTAGCCGCGTCTCGCAATGCCACCTCTCTCACTCCTTAGATGTTAGCAGGTGGTTCCGTCAGCTAACAAGCAACACTCTCCTGAAGTTTCGATCTCTCCATTGTACCAAAAAACAATTCGGTCTCCTTTTGACTATATAAAATGAGTAGTCTATCAAAACATGGACTTCATTTTCTGTTACATCACATGGAGTCTGTCTACACTTCATGACCTCCGTCCCTGACCTCCGGCTCCAGCTCAGATCTCCGGTTCTGCTGTAAAAGAAGAGGATCCCAGGGACACGAGCTCAAGACTATGTAATCCCGTCCTCATCTACAAAGTAATTCCATGTCTTTACAGTTTGAGGTATAACTGTATTCCCTTATATCGTGCCCTCGACTGATTGGGCTGGCATCAATAGGGAAGTTTTGATAATAGTAGGGCGAAATCAGTTAGGTCGCGTGGCTCCAGCGGCAGAGCATAGTGCTAATATTGAAACGCGAGGGTTGTGAGTTCGAGTCTCACCGTGACGCATGGATGCGTGAACAACTGTCGTCGAAATGATTTTGAGTGCTTGCTTTGATTTTCAAGTGAAGTTGAAAGCTTTTTGCCCTCATTCCATCAATGATGCTAATCTCGTAAGTTTGCTTATCGCCGCTAATGTGCCTAACTGCTCCACAGAGTGTCTATGCTCCTCTTTGTAGCTTGTTTGCATGGGACTACAACGAATACCTGACTTCAGCATGAAGCATACAATTACTTGTACTAAACGTACGATCACCGTTGCTGACTGCCCTACGAGGGCTATCTGTTAACTCGTATGCTCTGCGTACCGAATTTGCCCCTCATTCATACTTATTGATTCTCAGTTTACTCTAAAGTAAGAATTTAGAAAAAAAATAATAAAAATAAAAAAAAAATATCACGTAGCGCCTCTTGCTCGTGCCTAGACAGGCTGCTTACATACAGTAAGCCAGATTCATGTCTCCCATTAGGAAATGAACAGTCCGCCCAGAGCAAACCTAGGAACTTCATCACTACCACCCTATCATTCAGTCCTCCGTCTCCTCATCTTCAATTTCAGCCCAATCGGAGGAAGTTCACTGTGCCATAGAAAGATTGGGTTTGGCCATTTGTCAATCTCTTTAACCTCATAATTGAGAAGAATATGTATGAGTATAAGTTTAATCTCACTGATGGCAAAAAACCTTCCAGGACTATCATTCATATGAAGGTCAGTCAGTAATCAGCTTCTCTGGCTCTTAAAGCCGCAATGCCAGAAAACTACTTGGGTGTAACGAACCATGCATGTTTTCCATGACCGAAACTAAGATAATTGTCCCCAGTTGTCACCGCAGCAAATTTCCCTACTCCCAGTGCTGCGATTTCCGCTATACTCTTTCCCTCGGCTCTGAGTTGCTGGTATGGTTTCGAGAACCTGAACCCTCCAAACGCAGAAGCGTCCTCCCCGGACAGCTCGTCATCGTAATGGATGTTATATGCAGGAGCACCGACATAGTCTCCTTGCTTTAACCATAAACCATTCGAGAACGTATATCCTTCCTTTGGCATTACCTTCCGGACGAGCGAAAGCAAACCAACAAGAGGATTCCACCGAATGGTCTCTCTCAAGTAACTATCCATGCCCACCAACTTATTCAATTTCTGCTTTGTCCACACTCCAGGGGCCTCCTCACTATCACGGTCAACAGCCAGCACTTCCTCACGGAGAAGATCCCAACAGCGGTGACCACTTGAGTCAGTTGAGCCACATGTGGCCATATTCAAGAGGAAGCTTGATAGTGTCAATGATGTGGTATGAATCGCTGCAAAATTGAGGATTAGGTAGCGGACAGTGATTTCCTTATCATGGTGGCCCACTTCAAGGGCTCGCTGAATAATAAATTGGAGCACATCCTCCTTAGGTAGGTATCAAATAAATGCATTGTCAGTTGCTGCGAGCATCAGCTGTTGCAAATTTGACAAGATAAGATTCTTACAGGTTCATCTATTTGATCTTCTTCCTTTGCCATTACGTTATGTTCCCTGATAGCTACCCTCTTCGCAATGAGCGGAGCCAATTTCTTTTGGGCAAATTTTACGCGACGTTGGTTTCTATAAGCTATGATAGGGCCAAAAAGCCTTGATGTACAATATTAATGTCAGCAAGCATTTCCTTCCCCGTGACAACTTCCCCTTAATCCATACAGACATCTCGAAGATACATACCATCGAAGGCTTTTAGGAACAAGCTGTATTCCCCATCCGCAGAAAACGATGGACACTGAGTAATCGACGGCATTTTCAAGGAAGGCCTTATCTCGACCTTATTTGATATTATGTCAGTCCGCCTGAAGGCTGTCTCCAAGTCACCAGAAGTGAAAGCCCCACATACATATCTCCAATCCCGAAAATGCCCTATTGCTGACCCTTGCGACAATGTTCCTGGTGTCGTCAAGAACATCAACATCAACCCACCCTCCAGCATCACCTTTTTCATCAGCAATGAAATCCGCCTTCTTTGCCCTCTCGCCCCATGAGACATCCCATTCCTCTGTGAATGCTGCCACGATCTCATCCTGCAAAACACCCAAAATCTTTCCTATCGTGGCTGTTAATTTCTGCCTAACTATTACTACATGATATAGATTTAGGGATAATCCAGAATCTCCAAAGGAATACAATCCCCCAGATGCATCCTCAAAAGCTTCATTCTGGGAAAGGACATGCTCCGGGGCCGACTTCACTTCTCCGACGAGGGACGGTGGAATGACACAGATGTAATCGAAAAAGAAGTACGGAGCGAGGAAGGCTGTTGGGTTCTTCTGTTTGTGGTATTGATGGTATCCCGTGTTTACCATCTCCTTCAATCGCCAGAGAGATGCTGGAATTGCGCGTATGCGGCCAAGAGGTCCCGGTGGAACTCCAACTACTGGCAATTTTGAGGGATTGGAATCTCGTTTGAGGTAGGCAATCAGGTATGAAACGATCCATAGGCTAATAGCAATTCCAGCTAGCTGTAGTGGGGTAAACCCAACTAACACGGAGAGGACAGCCATGTTGTTGCGGTTTGTGAGTTTGGTCACCGTTAAAGTTCAGGATGGGTTTTGGGCTGAACTTATAGGCCTGCGGCTCCGCACCAAACGTGCATCGTTCCCAGAAGGATAAATCATGAATTAGTTAGCATCGCCTCCTACAGGAAACCTATCACAGGGCCAGATACATGCACTTACGAGTACAACGCAAATGCGAGCTGGCCTCATATGCACGCACATGCTATATACATAACCCACTCGGGGGCAGGCATGTTAGATCCTGTATCAGCAGTTCAGCCTCTGGCCCACAAGCGTTCTGCAACTGGAATAAGGGGAGAATCCTGGTCCTGTTTTGCGAAGCTGTGTGATTGCTATCTTCATTGCTGCTTTGGGACAGGGCTACTGTAGGGCGAGGCACAGCTAGGAAGATCGGGCGCCCGTGGAGCGTCAGTGCAACGTCAATAGTGAAGCTCTGCGATTGGCCCAGCAGACCTTAGGTACACCGCCTAGTTTGCTAACCCGAGTTTGGTGTGTGTTGTGTTGTCCCGTGTTCCGTCTACAAGCTGGGAGCCAAGATTCGTCTGACTGTTGCGTGGTCATGGTAGTGGATAAAAACCCTATCATAAGTGGAAAAACGGTTAACTGCTTTTGCCCCAGAAGGCCCGGCGTTAGCCTGTTCTCGCTAGCGTCATCCCGTTTACTACCCCCGTTCTTCAATCGCATTGCTGCACCATAGTCGTGCCAGTTGGGAGCGTGATAAGCCAACATATTCAGCTAAGCACGGCAGGTTGAAATAAGATATCAGAGACCTTCCGCAACGCCGTCTAGACGGCCGAAAACGCCACTTGACCAGGGTGCGGTCTAGACGGCCCAAAAGACCTTCCGCAAAATTTTAAACTGACGCTAAGAAATTGGCTCGGCAGGGCGGTTTGTGATGCCTCCAGCAATCTCTCATTTGTCAAAGCTTCTTGTGTATTTCTTGAAGAACTCATGGTATCACGGTAAAGTAGAGACTTTCAGCTATCAATAGATATCTTCAACAATAAAATCCGAGTGTTCGTTGAGATGCTATAGTGGTTCAAAGTTCTAGACGTAAAAACGGGGGGTTCCCGTCTACTCTAGACGGACAGCGCCGTCTAGACGTCGCGCACCGCCACGCTTGGCATTGCTGCAGGGGTCCCGCGCCGTCTAGACGGCGTTGCGGAAGGTCTCTAATCAGAGGGGAAAGCACGGAACGTTTAAATGCCGTGCTAGTTCCGGGAAGTAACAAAGTCCACAAGAAACACCCCTCAAGATCTCAGGATCTTAATGTGAAACAGTTGATTTTCGTAGGCCAAGGCCGCTCGCGGACAAATTATCGTTCGAACAACTAATCCTACTGCTTGGAATTCAGCCTGTTGTTGTTTAGCTAACGACTGCAGTTCTCCAGTAAATCGATTGCAGCGATCCCTGGTCGTTCGGAAGCTATGGCTACCATATGGCTTGTAGGATCTAGGAAGGTGGTGGCCCTTCGAATTTGATTTAATTTCTCCGAACGACATATGTAGTACATGCCTGTTACACACGCTCCTTCACTTCGGAAATACTACTTGGTTTAGATACTCTCACTGCAGATCTAACGATTTACTGGGTTAAGAAACGTTGCATGAAGTAACAAAAAGCAGGCAAGTGGCGAAGTTGGGGGGTCAAGAAGGAAAATGAACGATGTTGTGTCAGTTGCCCAACTACTACTGTTGTGGCCTAAGGCTTGCGTTAGTCCACGTAATGAGTTAGAGCATGCTCAGTCGCAATTCGCCGCTTATACCTCCGAGTTCGAACATAATGTACTCGAGGGTCCTGGAGGCCTGGGAGAAAGGGCAGCAAGTTGACATGGCAAGGCCATGAGTATACCCAGTATTATTGGAATGAGAACAAAAGTATTCTTTATGTTGAGGTTCTTGATTTTTTCAGAATGAAGAAGCATGAGATAAAGTTCTCAGACATGTATAATGCGGTAGCTCGATATGCTTCCTGTCTGCCGCTAGATAGTGCTCATATATACCTATAACTGCTTGAAGTACTCGGCACTTTGTATGAAACACATTCCGCGGAATTCCTGATCACAGCTGCACTAAGATTAGCTACGTATCAAGTATCGTTAGCACATGTCTTGAGAGTCATGACCTAAGAGTCTGAGGAGATATCGTAAGAACAATCCTTACCAAGACAGCGCATGTCTCGCTAGCCCATCATTTTTATTATCCCTTGGGTGGTCGAGACATGCATGAATTCTGTGCCGGAAACTAACTGTTTTTATCCCTGTCCATGCCGATCAGACCTATCAGATTGCAACCTCAGAGCTCACGCAGTCTATGATTTAGCATCTACGGAAATAGTACGTTGTGGGAATTCACTGCATTATTGTTATGAATTGTATTAACTATATGAGTTCTAATTGTGAGCCTAATAGAAATAACCAAAGTGGCAATTATTCTATTATGTACAGAGTGATATATTATG